TTATTAGCTCTCTGCGTTTTAGATTTTTACTGCTGTATTTGTGGAGAAGAGACGACCCGGGGAGATTTTCCCTACTTAAGCTCTAATTATTAAAGCAGTCAATGGTTCATCCGCTACCGCGCTTGCAAGTGCGAGCAGAAGAAGCAAGACCGGAAATTCATGCAATGATTCCCACTGCAGAGAGATGGTTTTTTTGTGTTTCTGGCGTCGTAATATTGGTACATCGTTGGTGCAAGCATGCTGTGCTCCACTTGGCTTCACTGTGTACTAGAAAGGCCCTGGGGAATGCAGGCAGACAAACAGAGGGATGTTTTGTGCATATTTGTATATTGCGATTGGATATACAAGCGTAGCGCATTGCTTTTAAACTCTGTGAGCCATCACGCACTCGGCGCCCTCTCCATCTTTGGAAAATCGCAGGAAAGTCGGCTTCAGACCGCATTTATTGCTTGGACTCTCACTACCAACGTTTGAGGTAGCCGTATCTCTCTACACTAGTTTCGTTTCTTAGCACCGCACAGGTTATTAGCAAGAAAGAATACCACTTGAGTCTTGTAACTGCAAGTGCTCTGCTTAGAACTCACGGCCGCATTTATTGCTTGGAATCTCACTACCGGCGTTTGAGGTAGCCGTGTCTCTCTACACTAGTTTCGTTTCTTAGCACCGCACAGGTTATTAGCAAGAAAGAATACCAAATCAAAAACAATGCCAAGATAATTAATGTGCAGAGGCTGGTGTAGAGGGTTCCGTCAACGGTAAGTACTTCGCACAGTTCGGTAGGAGCACCAGGATGCACGTGGGAGGCTCTACTGACTCGCGAAGAACAACAAAATCCTGCTTCAGGCAGCGGCATGGCGATTTCTCAATAGCTGAACGGATGTGCTTGTGCCTGCTTACTTTTCGGACCGGGTCTTTCTTGCCTAAACTCTAAACTGGCGACCCAAATACTGCTCAGAGAGAGCGAAAAGCGCCACCCAGTCGGCGCATATGTGCTTTCTCGAAAACATTCTACTACATGCAGACGTAAACGAACATTTTGAATGGCAGAGTGACAAAGCAGTGAGTCGTATGGACGCAGCACAGTCGACGTGGTGGAACCAGCGGCGCAGTAGTACCCAAGCCAGCAAAGTTGTCTAGCGTCTGGCGATGCCGAAAACCCACAAAAATAATCAGAAGATGACAGCGTCTACAGATACTTTGGCGAAGAGGACTCAGCAACCGAACGCTTGCACTCTGTGGCTTGATGCTCCCCTCCCCACAATGAAGTGTGAGGGCGCAGTACAGCCCATAACGCCCTTTACGTTAGCCCGTTTTCTCTGCAGGAGTCCTCTGCGTCCGTCTCTCTGAGATTTCTGTTGATCTCACACGGGAGACATGCTCTTTCAGCCCCTGCATTGCGTTCGCCAAGGTAGGACCCGCTGCTCGTTGCTGTTCCGAGCGTCCAGTTCACTGCTAAACACCACTAAATTCAATCTGATGAAAATGCAACGACAAGGAGGATATTCCTACTTCTTTCCAACCTACGGCTGCTCCGGTCGAATGAAATTTGCCAATCAGAACACGTTCCTTCGATTGGCAGCTCGTGTTGCGATGTTTGGAAGACAAAAGTGGAGCCACGACAAACGTAGTAAAAATTAAAATAAATGCTAGTTCGAGTTTGGGCCAAGAATTCAGCTTGGGGTGATGCCTTGGCTGAGAAAGATAGCGATGGAACGCATCCGTCCACTTTCTTCTGCGGTTACCTCCCCTGCACAAACTTGCCAGCACAATTTGAGCCTTTTCAGCACTTCACGCTATTAGCCCTGTATATGTGCAGCTTTATCATAGCAAAATGGAGACACAACAGTCAGTCATGCATAGCGTCACAGGTTTTAAGCAATCGTATCGACCCCTGGTGGGCTGCGTGAGTAGGCGTGAGCAGCAAATAGCAGTCATTTACAGGGGCACTGCACCCGCTAAATTCACCGGCAGACAGAACTCACAACATAGGAGAAATAGAGAAGGCAACCTTGTGTAGATTCATGATCTTAAGATATTCACTGTAGGGTGGAGGGGCAACAATACTGGCATTCCAAAGCCAGCAAAGCCCTGAACAGTGTGCTCCTCGAAGCGTCGAGACGCTGTCATTGCACCGCGATGTAAAAAGCCCCTTTTTTGAGTAAAGTTGTTTATTATAGGGTAATGTTTTGATATTGTTGCTCTGCGGATGAAGAGGTGCGACGCTGCTGCGGCGCCTTTGGAGGAATTCCCCCTTGAGAACGACACTGGGGCAGAACCGTGCGTTGATCCGTGAGCGCATTGAAGAAGAACTGGACGGCGTTAATGCAGAGTGTGATTTGGCTTTTTTCAGTTGAGTGAATACTACTTTCAGCGCACAGGAGAGGCTTCCGGTATATGAAACAGGAGGTCTTCCGTGCAAGGAGCTGATGATGGACCTCGCGGCAGAGCACGAAACCCACGCGAGCAGAATTCGGCAGGCAGATTTACTGGATCCTGTCATACATCAAGTAGATTTGACTGATACGCATGTGAGCAACTCTTCCTCTACGGAAGTGCTTAGTGACACTGCTGTGCCCGCACCGTGCAGCGGGTCTCACCGGAAACGCAGTAGAGTCTCGCATTCTTCAACTTGGCTGTTTCTCGCCTATGTACTAGGGCTGTTGGTTGTTGTATCACTGTGCAGCCGTATTGGTCAGAATGCGACGGGAAGTGGCGTGGCACTGCGAAGACTTGCGAGTATGGTTGGCCCCGCAGGGGCTGAACTTGATGCGGACGAGCTGGCGGCGCTTTGCCTTGAAATGGGGGAATGGAAGCCCATTGAACCCCTTTTCGGAGGAGGGCGAGCATCACCTGCAATTGTGGAAATGGTCTTCGAGTCACTAACTGCGGCGCCTCCTCACGAAGCTCCCACATCTGGGTTGAACGCCTATGGGATTTTCCAGACACACGGGTTTCCCATCATAAACGGGCATGTGCAAGGAAGTGACGAGGCTTTTTCTAGTGATGATGATGTGGATTCTGGCAGTCCTGGCCAAGACTTATGTTTATATCAACATCATATGAATATTCTGTCCATGCCCCCAGAGACTTTGGGAAGTTCACATACAGTCCCGCAGAGTCAGTCGGAAAACAGCTTACCACTGCTAGCGCAGCGTCCAACGGGACAGGGCTCTAAACCACAGAGGCGACACAGTGAGAACTGCTGTCAGATGTCTACAAGGAATGGCACAGCTACGGGCGGAGCAGCTCACCCACCCCTTCGTCAGTCATGTAGCGACCCCACGACAGCTAAACCGAGAAGTTACTTGCAATCCGTAGAAGAGGAGGCTTCGTCTTCATCATCAAGGGGAAGCAGGGTGCATGGCGAGATACCCCTAGGTGTCAGTCCACGCAATGAACATCCTTTTGTCCGCCTTCCTTTGTTGGAGCCAGGAGCAGCCGATGATTTGCCAGATTTGAGGGCGCTAAACCTACGAGGAAGATGCCCGCTTCTTGCTCACTCCCTCAAGATCGTCCGAAGCTTTCTAATGAAGCCTATTCTCAACAAAGTAGAGGTGGTCGAACTCTTGAAGTGCGAGGCAACCATGTTGCGGCAAGCAGCACGTCTCATAACATTATCTGTCGAACATTTGAGCCCGTCTGCTGCAGTTGAAATTTTGGGACGTCGTTTCTTAGTCTTCCAGGCGCTGCACTCAGTTGCGAAACTTTTAGGAAGCCATGTGGCTAATAATGCATGGTACAAATCGGTCTTTGCCCTTCTGCCATCAAATTACGGCAAACGGCTCGGCCAAAATATTGCACGCTGGTCTCAACGTTATGTTATTTTGTCAAAAGATTTGATTAGCGCAATGGAGCTGTACAGGATGGGCGATGAGCCCTCTGCGGAGGAGATTATCGACCTCAAAAGAAGACTGTTGTGTTTGCCGGATTCTCCCTCGGGTTTTCGTAGAGTTGCCTGGAGCGTATGGCGAGTAGACGACATGCTGTTTCAAAGGCGTTCGTGACAAACAGCACTTCTGTGATAATGCATCATTTAGAGCGACGCAAAAAAGATGCAGTTCTGCTGACAGGATTGCACGGACGAACGACTTGTAGTTCTTTGTGAATGAGAGGCTTCGGGGGTGAAGTATTTCTTCCCTTGGCGATCGTGATTCCGTGTGAAATCTCCACGGAAGGACGCAAAATTTTCATTATCATGCCATGGACTGTGCGGGCTCAACTCAGCATATGGACATGTCAAAGTCCAGCCCGTCAAGAAGGGGCTTTTGGCAGACCTTCGTGCTTTCCCGAGCGCCATCTGATTCTGCAGTATACATGCGCCTGACTAAATTTCCGCATCGTTAACTGGCTGGTTCAACTGTTGGTGGGACAGTACCCGTGAGCTTCTGCTTACGAGGGCTCCCGTGCAGACAGACTATGGCCAGTTTCGCAGCCAACTACGTGGATACATATTGGCCAACCAGTCAAGTAGGCTGTTGAATAATTCTGTGCCACTATGCTCTGATCAATTGCTGCGTGGATACTATGGGTTCTAAGATGAAAGGCGTTTTAAGAAGGAAGCCGTTAGTGCCTTCCTATCAAGCCGGCTGCTATCCTTTGTGGCAACTTTACCGGCCTGTCCCAGTTAATGGTAATTGTAAGAAACAGTTGCCGAACTTTTGTTTCGAAGTCGAGACCCAACTAACTATGATGGAGCAGCTAAGAGCTGGTGAAAGGCCTGGATGAGTGCCGATCGTTTTTGCTGAGGATAGATTTAGATTATGGGGGCCGGGTCACAATTGTCGACTACAAGATCTAGCGGGCCCGGAGAGAGAGATTGAGTTTGTAGAAAGAGCATGCAGGAACGGCGAAAGTGTCAGTTGATAATGAGTAGAAGAGTTTTCCCCTTGGCGGATGAAGCACGTTGAAATGGTGTTAAAAGTTGCTAGATGGTAGTCTATTCATGGAGCCACTTGGCTGCACCTTTTTACCTCGCACGACGCGTAATTTTAGGATCAGGATTATTCTTGAACTAATTCGAAGGGAACAGGAAAATGACGATACTTACAAGTAGCAAACTCGGAAAGAACAGTAGAGGCACTTCAGTGTTGTCCTCAGCAACCCATGGCGAAGGAGCAAGTTGGGGAACTGTCTACTTCTTTCACGCAATAAAATGTGAAAATATTGGGTTTTTCTGCTCATGTTCTGTAAGATGCAGGTTTCTGCTCCATCGCCTTTGCGTGTGAGGCGAGCACCGTTTCATTATCCTCAGAAGAAGAGCGGGGCATTGCCTAGTCCTTCTGAAGCCAAACCTGAAAGCAACCTCGGCAGAAACATTATAGCTGTCAAGTTTTGACACACTAAAGTTTCACAATGCCGAGAGTGTAGTAACATAGAATTGCCTCGGGAGTTTGTCACGAAATTCTGTGGGGTGTGTCAGGTCACCCTACGCTTGGTTTGAACCCAAAATGAGTTCAGCTGCTGTACTGCACACAGAGGCCTAGATGCAATGAAAACAGTTGGAAATTACGTGTGCGTCAACCCCTTTAAATGTTGCTATGTTAGAATCTGTTTCCTTAGCAGCGTCACTGCTAGTTGCAGGCTGCTCCCGAGCATTACCAAAAAGGCTACATCATGCCGAGGGAACATAAATTTTACACCAATTGTTCCTCAAAAAAATGATATACTTCAGCATGATACTAAACTATAGGAAATAAGTTGCGTCTAGTCTCTGCACAATGACGAAAAGCTCTTGGCGGACTCCTGCCTGACGACCGTGAAGTGCAGTGCACAACACAAACGGAGAGAAAACGCCAGTAAAGCCATCCATTTTCTCATACTATAATAATGAATATTGAGTAATGTTTGCATGTGAGTTTGCCGAAGGAGATCTGAGGCGTATTTGGCCCTCCAGTAACAGTCTTTCAGTACACTGTGGACGTGGAGCAATTTTATGTATGCCGGCTCTTAGGTTTGATACGACAAATGATGCACTTAGCAGAGACCTCAGGCAAAGAAACAGGAATCTCTTGAATGAGTGGCCTTTGCAGCATCTTCAAAGAACTTGACACTACAAAAATCAACGAAAAAAAGAGACGAAAAATTTCGTCCCGGTGGGAAGGCTAGCCTTGTTTCCCACTTAAGCGCTTTGCCCTCTTCTATTTCCTTCCTATCATTTATCATTTATCTGTTCATGAATGGATAATTCCTGAGCAACTTTGTACTCGGGAACTATCTCTTCACAATTTTGTGGCCGTGTTTTCGCCTTCACTTTTGCATTTCCCTGCACAGGCAACCTGGTTTGCACTACTCAAAAGCCAAACAAGATGTATTTTCCCATGCACAAAAGTTGTAGCGAAAGAAGCTTCAACAGCCTCGAAATGCCAATTAAGTGTTTGGAACACGGCCTTTAGTCATTCTTGTTCTGCTTCATTTCACTGGGGCTTATCGACAAAACAAGGGCAGCATGCTACTTACGTATCTATTGAACATGAGAAATTTTATGATTAGTGTAAAATGCTTCGAACGGGTGTTCTGTATCATATCAAGAATACAGAGGTCTATGCCGACTGGCAAGCAGATGGGTGTCAGATTTTTTTGCTGTATAGCTGCACACCCGGCTTCCCATTGGCGAAAATTGGCATTGTTGCGCGTGATATGAAGTTTTAAAAGCTTGTCCGTTGGCGTTTAATTCAGCCTTAAACAATTTCACGAAAGTCGCTGTGCACAAACGAAGTGCCGAACAGAAATAGCACTCATCTGGAGATGACCACCTTGTTCATTGCCTGCGTTCATCTGACGGAACCATTGGACAAAATGTTTTGATCCTTGATTAAGGCAGTATGGATTTCCAAACGACAACCAGCACCACGTGCTATCCGATTACTCATTTTCTTCATGAGCTGCGTACACGTTTACTGCTACCTACTCTCGTTCAAATTCTCTGTTGAGTTAGCCAGCCAGTATGCTACAGAGAAAAGGATGTGGCTCAGCAGCAAGCACTTACCCGCTATGACTACATGCTAAGAGTTTGAGCGTCGTCACCGTGGTCCCTTCACTATCAAAGAGCGCATCAACATTGTGGCATACTCTTTGGAACTGCCACCGGCAAAATCTAACCATGAGGTTTCTCATGTTTTCGCGTTTGTGCCACATCGTCCCCGTGACAGTAACACGGCTACCAAAGAAGCCGCTGCCAATTAGCTTCCTGCGCCAGATGCAGCCGGAAATTCGATTCACCAGGGGAAGTCTGAGTGCAATTTGAAT